CTCTCATCTTTTTAAGTGGGAGAACTTGCACAATTGGTGGCTGACTAAATACTTTTTTGCTCCACTTTATCCAAAGGTAATTTGGATCTTTCTGTCTTATTCAGCAAGATTAATTCAGGTAGTCCTCAGGTTATGATGGCAGTTGGGATCAGAATTTCCATCACCAAGCGATGCAGTTGTAAAGTGCAGTGTCACATGACTGCATCACTTAACAACAGCAATTCCAGCAGTCCTGGTTGTCATCGTAACCTGAGGACCGGACAGGTCATTAAACAAGGACAATCATGATTTCTGACTTCCTGCTGACTTCCCCATTGACTGCTTGTGGGAAGCCAGCAGGGAACATTGGAAATTGTGATCATGTGACTGCGGCTCACTGCAATGTCATAATCGCAAGCCAGGCATCAAGCGCCAGGATCATGATCATATGATTGCAGGGATGCTGTGATGGCTGAAACTCTTGAGGGCCAGTCGTAAGTGCCATTTGTTCAGCGCTGTCATAACTTTGAATGGTTGCTGAACAAATGGTTGTAACTCAAAGACTACCTGTATGCACATGCTGAACCAAGCTTAAATAAATGAATAAATCTGTGAGTAGACTGGATGCAGAAATTCTAGTACAATTCCAGCAAAGTAACTTTATTTTAAAATTGCTGATAATATATGTGTTACATTGTTTATGAATTGTTAAAACAAATTATGTAATCTTGTCTGAAAGAAAATAATTTAGGGGTATGTGTGTGTGTGTATTACTCAGGGACCACAAAGGCATATTCCATATAGCAAAGTGTGTGTGCATGCCTTTGAGTCAGCATTGACTCCTGCTGAGTCTGGACAGGTCCCTGCATTTTTCTTGGCAAAATTTCAGAAGTGGTTTGCCATTGCCTGCTTCCTAGGGGTGAGAGAGAGGGACTGGCCCAAAGTCACCCAGCTGGCTTCATGCCTAAAGCAGGACATGAACTCCTGGTCTCCCCGTTTCTAGCCTGATGCCTTAACCACTACACCAAACTGGCTCTCATAAGGCAAAGAAAACATTTTCTTATTTTATTTTTTGTTATTGAAAGTTTGAGGTAAAATAACACGGAACAACAACCTACAGTAGACCTCTCCCCTCCCTTCAGAACCAGCAAACATAAACTGAGAAAGACAAAGGAAGGAGGAGGAGAGGGAGAGAAACAAGCACAGCTAAGAACACAGGGTAAAGATTTCTGGAATCAGTGTTCAGTTTTCATTATGATGCAGATCTAATTAATTATGCAGTTTTATTTATCCTATAGATAACTAGACCTCTGCTAATATGAGTTTAAATCACTAGTGTTACTTTATCTTTGATTAATTTTCTTAAACAAATATCTTCGTTCTAGATCAAGGATCAGGATTTTGTGTGACAGGTAAAATTGAAGCAGGATACGTCCAAGTTGGGGAACGACTGCTCGTGATGCCTCCTAATGAAACTTGCACTGTGAAAGGTACAATATGTGGATTGAAGGGGTTTTTTTGGTGGCGGGGGGGAATACACAATAAACAGTTTTAGAAATTGATAACCAAAACTTAACTATCAAAAGCAAAACCTTACGTGGAACTTTTGTGATTCCTTCTCATGGATGGTGAGCTGTTGCTTGCAGGAAATGTGATCGGGAGTTCAGCTGGCAGCTGGGTGTAGGCAGTCTTCTTCACTAGTTAAACCATTTCCTGGGTATAATAGGTCACATCTAGGTTGGATTTATTGCAACACATTTTCTGTGTGGCTGCCTTTGAAGAGCGTTTGGAAATTTCACCTGTTGTTGGAGTAGATTTTGATGTTTGCATCTTGGAGTATATTGGCACTGGCTTCTGTTTGGACTCCAATCTCAATTCAAAGTGCTGGCAAAGCCCTAAATAACTTGTGCCCAGATACTTGAAGTGCAGCCTCTTCCCATATACGCGTCTCTACACCGAGCGGTCTTTATTATTATTCCACATCCTGCTGTTCCCTGAGTATGGCTGGCTGAGATATAGGACAGGACCTTGAGCATCATTCCCTTCCCAGATGGATTGGCTTCCTTCAGTTAACTTTTACTTCCTTGATTTAACTTTAGCTATTTGGAGTCTTCTTAGATTGGTCTAGAAATTTTATAAAGACATATAAAGGAAATAAATATTTGTCGGGTTATATTTATTTTATTTAAGGTATACGCTGGGCTTGCTACTCTTTCAGTTGTTTTAACTTCATGTTCTTTTTTCTCCCTGAGATATGTAGGTTTTGTATTTGTATTATTTACATTATACATGTAATGTTTTTAAAATTATAAGATGCTTTGAAGTTCTTTTTGGATAGAAATGTTTTGGATAGGAATGCTTAAATGATATACTGTACATGATGCTAGAATGAAACACAATAATTGTGTTATCATTGAATTACCCATTAATAACTGTGTAAGAGGAAAACTAGAGGTTTGTATACTGAATTATATTTAAAATAGATTAATTAATATTCACAGGACTTAATACATTTAGCTCTGCTTGATTTCTTCATGTCTAGTCTAAATAGAATTAAGGCTAGAGCTAATCCAGTAAGAGAGAAAAAATGACCTAAAGATTTCTATAAGCAGTTTCAAACTCCAGGATATATTTATATTCCATTATCTGTATATCACAGAAACTCTTCAACAATTGTTTCAAATAGTGTTGATTTTTTTTAGAATACAGTTTTGTGAGCTGCATTACACACATGCACACATGAAAAGACACACAGAAATGTTTTCTCTAGTGTATCAAAACCAAGTATCAACTTATTTGTGGAAAAATGAAAACAGATAACTCAGTGTAAAAAGTTGTGGACAAGATACATGTAGCATATAGAATTGTTACCTCTGTGCAGTGTGACACCCATAAAAAGCCTATGCTGTGACTTGCAGAAAACCATGAATAAGCAACATATTTATAGATAATGGAGGTACCTGAAAATAAAATGTTTCTTAGATTTTAGTCAACAGCCTTTACTATCACTTCATTCATACTGAAAACTGAGGAATAGTAGTTGATGCAGCAGAATTGCAGAAACTGTTCTTTGTAGCTGTTAAACCGAGGCAGTTCATTATTTAGTACTGGTTTTACTCATTTCTAGGAATTGCTCTACATGAACAACCAGTGGATTGGGCTGCAGCTGGAGATCACGTTAGTCTCACTTTGACTGGCATGGATATCATCAAAATCAAGTGAGTGCAGAAAAGAGTTTGACTAACCAACCGTTTATATTTAACTTAACCCTTTATAACTGTTGTGTCTGATAATAAATGATTCACCAGATGCAGAAGACGCATGTGGGAAGTTTACTTGGACCTTTCCAGCCATAATGGTGCAGATTCACTAACTTTCATGCAAAATGCAGTTTGAACTTGGCAGTGTTCTTCATTGTAATTAAACAGTTGTTTGGCTAAAAAACAAATGAGAGATACTTCATGATTTCTTACAATATTCATCTAAATGTTTAGGCAATAGTATATAGAGTGCTCAAATATACATAATTACAACTGGTATGTGTTTAAATTGCTTGCTGCTGCTGAACAACAGTTGATTTAAGATCACAGGCAGACTTAATTTGGTAAGGAATAGAAACATGACATTACTACTGAATGAAATGGGTATGAGGACTGTGCATGTCTCTGATGAGGTGTTTCGCTTCAACAAAGGTTTGAGTAAAACTCTCCCTCAGAGCTGCTTTGTGAAGCAGCGTGGCCACCTTGCTTCTAAGAGAGAGAGAATAAGCTGTGGAGGACACATTACATTTTGGCAAGCACTGCAGAAGATGTACCACTCACTCTTTCAAAACATTTGATGGGTGCTGGAGCTGACACCCCACCCTGCCTTCTCCAGACTTGTTGCCAAAAACTTTGGGAGACTGGTCTGGAGGAGGTGAGCTGCTTTGGCAAGTGCTGCAGAGGATGTGCTGCTCACCATGTCTGGCACAGCTTGTCCCAAGCTTTGATAAACCATGATAGAGAATGTATTTCTCTGCCTACTGTGCCATGCCCTCCTGTCATGCAGTCAATGTGCACATGAAGTCTCTTCTGACTATGGTATGTGGCTGGTAGGAAAGAGTCAGGGGCTTTGAGATAATGCAGAATGCTTAACTGAAGCAAATCACATTGCTACTTTGCTTCAACAAAGAGATTCCCATTGTTTCTGCACTGTGAATCTCTTCTCAGAGTTCAAGAGTTTAATAGTGATTTTGCATTCCATAAAGGCAGTATGGCTTATAACCCATTTTTATAAGTGAAACACATTTTGCACAGCTGCACATATTACACTCTTGGTTAATGCATGCTTTCTCTAATTGTGCTGTCTTTATTAATATAAAAATCATGATTGTTTTGGAGCCAGTGTTTTGACCAAGTGTTAGTTTAGCAACAGGAAAGGATTATCTGTTCTTTAACTTGTTTTTTTATTATAAATAATTTTAATATACCCCCACTCATTTCATCCTAGGTTTTTTACTCTATGCTAGATTTAGATTTGAGGATTTTTTTCATCTCCAATGATTCTAGAAGCAATATGATAAGTTTAATTTTTTCCTTCATTTTTTTCCTATAAAATATATACAGCTGTGGAAACAGATGTGCTTCCTTATGCTCCACATGACTGGGTTTTCTGTTCCTGCACCATCATAGAACTAGTTTGGTGAACCCTGCGTGCTTTCTCCCACTGCACATTCCCGAAGGATTTACCATTATTTACCTCTATTTCTGCCACCAAATCAGGAACATTTTCTCTCTCCCTAGGAAATTAGAGATCCAGCTGAGCTTATTTCAGTTATTTTTTAACATATTCATAGTTATTACTATTTTCCTTCAGTTAAAAAAGAGGGTTTTTCCCCCCCATTGGATTGTTTCCATTGTTCCATATATTTCTTTTCCATGATCTTGAAGGCCTCCTTTGGAAAATGTGTAAAGTATGGCAGTAGGTTTCCACCCTCAGATGGATACTTCTTGTTCCTTTTGGATTTAGATAAAAGCCATTCATTGTCAACATTTCAAGTAGAAATGATGAAATCATTCATTCTTCCTTCTTGGATACTGCTGTGGAGGCAAACTTTCTAAACACTAACTACGTTAGTTTCTGGCACCCAGTTTTCTTGAGGTGTTGATATCAGAAGAACAGAACATATGCATCAAATTTGTCATTCAAAGATATGGAACGTTTTACAATACCATCTATTCCTTTTCATCACCAACAGCGAAACAAATGTTACAAGTACTGCTTCCGCTTAAAAAGAAGTTATAAAAAAAATTGCAAAGATGGGCCTTCCTGAGGGAAATAACTGGACCATCTGGATAACTGGATCATTTCCTAAGGGAAATAACCTGGACCCCCTTTCTTCTGTACCAATAGAGAATATGTATAGCTCAAGGTTGAACTGTGGAGTCCTTGGGGTTCTCTGAGCTTGGTTGTTTTCTTGCAAACATTTTAAAACGTTTGCAAGAAAACAGCTAAGCTCAGAGAACCCCAAGGACTCCTGTCTTCTGTAGCAGGTGACACTTGGAGAATATGTGTGTGCGTGTTTGTACCCTGCAATACTGTGCAGAAACATCAATATAACTTCAGCATCTGAACGGGAGATTACAGAGATGTCTGCTGGATCAAATCCCCATGTAAGGAGATTTCTTCTGCTCATGTGAAAAGAACAGCTATACTTTCTGAAGTACCATGGTATCAGTGCCAGTTTTCACTATATGCAGAATGATGATGTACAGTATATTCCATTAGAAGGAAGCAGAAGCAGAGAGCCAATAAATCAACATTGCCAAACACTGTTGCAGTTGTCTTTCCTGAATCATGGAATGGATGGAGGTGCATTACTTGGCTGTGCTATTCTGACTTATCAAAAGAGACTAGATAAATAATAAAAGATTAATCTTTTCAGTTTTTAAAGAAATTAGGAAAACAATTTTATACTGAAATCTGAATTAGTTTAATGTATGTTTATACTTAAGTCACATGCACTGATCCAATAAATTGATTCAGTATTTATTGTTAGCTGCTAGGTTTGTCACTGCAAAATATTGGAAAATAAAATTATGTTGGTTATAATATTTAAAAAGCATAGATAGTTGCCTTGTCTGAAACATTAACACACCAACTAGGAGTTTTGAAAACTCTAAATGAAGGATACTTTCAATCAAATTTGGGCACTGGTTGTTAGCTATATAAATATAGTCATCACATCTCATCCTGTGTCAATGCCATCACCTTGGATTTTCTCTGTTTACCAGACTTTGGCTTATATGGTGGCAACTACTGCAGTCAACCAGCATGCCCTTTTTTGAACCCAATTCTTGCACAGTGGTTTGTGATGTACTTCTTTCCAGACTTTTTTAATGCCCAGCAACCTTTCGGATATAGGAGAAACCTGTACCACCTCACATTCCATCCTCCATGCAGTCTTCATCACTAGTCTTCACTATGAATGCAACCTCAACACATTGCTGAAATTCAAGAAGAATCGATACATTGGTTTTATTGACTCTTTTTACTAAGGGTTTGATTTTTTTATTCTCCTAGACTATACTTATCAATACATTCATGCTCCAATTAAGCATTATTTGGTATGTGAGAATATCAAAAAGGGTTCCATAAACTATTCCTGCCTGGAATGCTACTACCAGATATTTGGAGTTTTTCTACTGGCAAGCCTTTTGAAGTGCTAGCGACTTCAATCCTGCACCTTTTGTCTATGAAGCTTGCTTTCCTATTGGCAATTTCTACAATTTGTTAAGCAAATGAGTTATTCGCTTTTGGAGTTGATCTGTTGGTTATAGTGTTCCCTAAAAACGAGATGGTATTGCATCCAGATGTTTATTTTCAACCAAACATCATTTTCAGATTTATATGTTCTATATATTCTGCTAATGATTTTTCCTTCCCTTGCTTTAGACTACCCTTTGCTCCTTAGATTTCATAGGACTTTGTTTTTTATGTGGGCTGAACCTGAATGTTTTGAGAAACACAGCAGCTGCTTGTATTATGGTTTTCCAAGGAAAGTTCTGTCAATTTCTCCACAAGGAAATGCCTATGAGTAACAGAAACCACTGACTTGGCACATCTGTTAGCTAAACTTTCTCTGTCTCATCCTGTGTAGCCATTCTACCATATGATGGCAACACCATTCAAACACTGTTTAAAAGGACATATTGCCTCCTGACATCTGTCACGTATTGGGTTCTATCTATCAGTCATTGTTGAGCAGTACTCCTTTGATACCCAGGTCAGATCAGCTGCTGCATTTGGCTGGATAATATTGTCCTTGATATTACATTGATTAGCTTGTGTATCTGCAATTAGTGTATGTTGCTAGTCATCCATGTGTATGATGACCGTGATGAAGAACAAATTATTTAATCATAACTAGTTCTCAGAATTATAACCTGTGTATTCACATAACTGTCTTGCCTTTTCCTGTAGGAAGTTAAATTAAAGAAATCTTGAGGTACTGAAGTAAATAAATAAAGATAAGCCTTCAGGCATGCACAATGAAGGGGAACATTCATGGCCCACAAAGTGTAGGTCATCTTACAAGTGCTCTGTTGGTATCTGTACAGATGCAGGAAACTTATGTGTGTGAATTCATAGATAGCTACTAGAGAAACTGCAACTATGGATACTTTCATCTTTCACTGATAGGGTAAACCTATATTTACCGTAGTGACCCTTCTTATCTTCTTGAAAATTCAAGATGGGGAATAAATGAGTAGGAGCCAATTCCATCTTATTTTAATAATTAAAATATTGATATGCCATTAAGGAGTGTCCAACAATATTAAAATATAACCAAAAAAGTCCAGAAAACAATCTCTATTTGATTTTGAATCTGACCTATGAAAAGGTACCCTCTATGTTGCTTTCATTGACTTAAGGGCAGCCCTGGTTCAATGCCACAAGGTAGGCTTCAGAGGAAACTAACTGCCACATCAAATGACATCACCATGTGACCTCCTTAAACTGATAATAGTGTTGTATCACAGCACCACCACTCAAATACAGATAGTCCTTGCTTACTGACTGCCTTGTTTACCAACTATTTGAAGTTATGACAGTGTAAAAAAAAAACAGCTTTGTGACCAATTCTTGTTTTTATGACCATCGCAGCATCCCTCGGTCACATGATTGCCATTTGTGTGCTTCCCAACTGGCTTCTGACAAGCAGAGTTAATAGAGAATGTGGAAGTAAAATTACAAGTTGCAGTCATGTGATGTCTTGCTTAACAACCTTGATGATTTGCTTAATGACTGAGGGGGAAGTGATATAAGTCCGTTGCAATCATGTGATTTTCTGCTTAGTGACCGTGGTGCTTAGCAATGGAGTTGCTGGTCCCAATTGTGGTCACTAAGTAAGGACTACCTGTAAAGTGCAGTTGCAATGGCAATTTAACTGAACCTATCCGTGTCCAAAAGGGTGTAAAACAAGGATATATACTTGCCTCACTATTGTTTATTTTATATACTAATGACATAGTTGACAGTTTTGCTAAGCCAGAGTTTCATCCTCCATCTTTTGCTCACCGCCCCATTCCTATCCTTCTATATGCTGATGATGTGGCCATTCTATCTGTAACACACATGGATACACGCTGATGACTTGCAGCCTTGTCATTTTATTGTTTCAGGGAGCACTTTGAAATAAATTCTTCTAAACAAATAGTAATGTTGAGAGAGGGCAGTAGGAAGGGAAGACACTTCCAACCCTGTTTTTCAACATGTTCCATAAACCTGAGCTAGCTGGTTTATTTTATTTATGGTATCATGGTATTATTAAAAACATATATAGAGTTATTATCAGTATATATTTGATTAGTTACTCCTTTGTTTCTTGCAGTGTTGGTTGTATATTTTGCTGTCCCAAAGAGCCAATTAAAACATGCACACGCTTCAGAGCTCGGGTCCTTATCTTCAATATTGAAATACCTATCACCAAAGGATTTCCTGTGAGTACAGCCTTTGTTTTGAATTAATTTATATTTTTAAGTATTATTTTCCTCAGCTTTTTAAATTGTACTCATGCTGCCAAAAGAATTTTATATGCTGTTTTCTTGCCATTCTGAGCACTTTCTAAAGTAGATACTCTATTTTGATTATAGCATTCTAAGTGAAGATGGCTGTACAGGTAGTCCTCAACTTAAGACAGCAGTTGGGACTGGAATTTCCATTGCTAAGCGATGCAGCTGTAAAACACAATTGCTTAGTGATGGCAATCCCTGCAGTCCTCATTGCCATCATTAACCAAATCCCACAGTTGTTAGGCAAGGCAACTACCTGCCGGTTTCCCACAACCAAGTCAGTGGGGAAGCTGGCAGGAAGTTGCAAGTCCCAGGTAGCTTGCAAGCAGGCTGGCAGGCAGGTAAGTGACTGCTGCTGGGTGGGGGAAGGTGCGAGGGGGTGCGCAAGGGTGAGAGGGAGGCACGGTGAGGGTCAGGGAGGGTGTGCAAGGGTATGAGGGAAGCGAGGGTTGGGGAGGATGTGTGAGGGTGTGAGAGGGTGTGAGGGAGGTGTGGTGAGGCTCAGGGAGGGTGCGCGAGGGTGAAAGGGAGTGTGTGAGTGTGCAAAGGAGGCATGGCAAGTCTTGGGGAGGGTGTGCAGAGGTGTGCGAGTGGCCAGGATGGTGCAAGTACAGGGGGGCTGGGGAAGGGTGCACAGGTTGGGGAGAATTACCCGAGTGACTTGCGACCTTCCTGCTGGCTTCCCCATTGTCTTTCTGGGGAGGCTGGCAGGGAAGGTTGCAAATGACAATCATCTGATTGCAAGGTGCTGCATCTGGTCGTAAGTGCAAGCTGGCTATTGTGCCCAGATCATGATCATGTGACCATGGAGGTGCTGGGATGGCTGGAATTCCAAGGACTGGTCATAACCACCATTCGTTCAGTGCCATCATAACTTTGAGCAGTCACTGAATGAATGGTTGTAAGTTGAGGACCACCTGAATTTATTACAATGATTCAGAGGAGTTTCAAAAAGTACTGATAGAGTTGTAATTGTCTTATTGTACAATAAAATAAAAATGTAGAATTGATCAACAGGATTTATACAAAATCTCCCCTTGCCTTTTTACACTGTATTCATAGAAGAGAATTTTTCAGGAAAACCTGTATTTTATCAATTGCTGACAGTGCTTAAATTTTGTCAACTAAAATGCAGTATTATTTCAGGTACTTTTATATTTTCAAACTGTAAGTGAGCCTGCTACTATTAGAAAATTATTGAGTGTGCTTCATAAGAGTACCGGTGAAGTTGCCAAGAAAAAACCTAAGTAAGTATTTTAAGGTAATTTGTTAATACAGTTTAAAGTCTTTGAAAACTGAAATTACGAACTAATTAAAACTGGTAGAAATTGACTGTAAAATCAGTGATCATGATGTACTTCAAATAGTTACTCTTACATTAATGCCTGAAAAGTATTCTGTAGGTGTTGGTAAGTGTAATGCTGAGGTATCAGGTATACTGGTGGACTTTTCTGAATTATTGAAAAGGTGTTGCTATGTAAGCAAATTATAGATTGTACATTGTCACAGCTTCTTATTTCAAACTCAGATGTGGTTTGGTAAGATTTAGAGATGGTATGTTGTGATTATCCTTTGGCTGCTTTCAGCTTATGTTTTCCTTTGTGTGTGTGAATCTCTGGGAGAAATATGTTGGAAATGAGAATCATCAAAATATCAGTAGATTTTGCAATTCCGTGCTGTGTAAAAGAGGGAAAGGATGCTCTTTGCACATTTTAAGGTGGAAACTGCACGAAATCTTCCATTCTTTATATCTGAAAACATAAGCGTACACTGGATGTCCTTTCATAGTAATATAACTCTGTGGGTACTAACAGGTTTTCTTTTCCTTGTAGATGTCTGACAAAAGGGCAGAATGCTTTAATAGAACTACAAACCCAAAGGCCTATTGCTTTGGAGCTTTATAAAGACTTTAAGGGACTTGGGAGATTTATGTTGCGCTATGGTGGATCCACTATAGCAGCAGGAGTAGTTGTGGAGGTATAGTGCTTTTCTAAATGCTTTTCTAAATGCTAATTATGAAATTGCAGCTCTGTGCATTAACTTGTCAACCATTTTTTTTAAAAAAATAAACATATATGCACTAATATTTGGATAATCAAGTCTGACAATGCTAATATAATTAGTGTGAAGATGTTTTATTAAATGGTTTTAATAAAATATACATTTCTATTTAATAAAATATAAGCATAATAAAATATAAGCAAAATATAAGCACTTAATGCAGCAACAGGTTGATACTGTAGGCTGGTATACTTTGAAAAAGAGCTGTTCTCAGGGTATAATAGAGTTAGGGTGTTCCGTTTCTTTTTTGAAATGTTCAAATGATGTTTCTGTTTTATTTTAGATTAAGGAGTGATAACTGTGCCAGGACATCTGCTATCCAGCCAAATGAAATCATACGCTCAAACATACTTCTTTGAGGAATCCATTTGTATTTGTTGAAGGAACAAAGATAATTATGTATTGGCAATTATGTACTGGGTATTCTGCAAACATTTCGAGGCCATTATTGCTGTAGAACAATTTGCCAGCAAGGAAATACTCACTGCACTTTCTCATTGCACATGTTTCAGCATATTCCCAAACTAAAATGTCGTCCATCAGTAGTTCTAGTGGATCTTTTTCAAAAATTGATTGGAATGATGTATTAAAGGATGGTGATTCATCATGAAAAAAAAAAGTTACTTCCAGCCTTAAACTTTGTTTACAATTTATAGGGAAAGCTGATTCTTTGCTGCATGGTATTTTATACAGTACATCAATTGGGCTAAAATATTCCAAGTTTTATACAACTATGTTTTCAAAGAATCCTGTTTCCTTTTGTTCAGAAAACATTATGTAATGCTGCACCTAGATATTAATTTTTCTCCATCCTAATTTTATTTAAAAATTTGAGTAGATATAGCTTGTCCAATAATGACTAATTTTATTTTTTAAATTGTAGAACTATAATAAAATAGTCATCTGAGCATAATAATGTTGGTTTTTTACATGGTCTTTTATAAATTAAAATCCCGACAAAAAGAGTTGGTTCTGATGGAACAAAGCCTACCTTTTACATGATTTCCCTGACTGTTGTATTTGAAAACGTACCTGCTAGTGCAACTCCCCTAAAATTATGTCAAAATGAATGCTTTATAAATTATAATTTTATCTGAGTGCAAGAATTGAAAGAAGTATGTAGTCGTTCAGGATAAAAATATACTTACTGTTACTTGAAGCTTTCTTCATTTCAGCAGTGTGTGTGTGTGTGTGTGTGTGTGTGTGTGTGTTTGTGAGTACATATGAAGGAGGGAGGAAGCAGAGGAATAATTAAATAATGTCCCATCAGATCTGGTAGAGAAGGCATGCTGCGGTCCTGTCTGCTAGGGAATTATACTTGGTGGGTCCCAGGAGGCGGGCCTTCTCTGCCATGGTGCCCGCCTTATGGAACATTCTCCCCCCTGAAGTGAGATTAACTCCATCCCTCTCAACATTCCGCAAGCCTCTCAAGACCTGTCTATGTTATCAGGCCTGGGCTCCCAGGGGACTGGGGAAATCCTGAGATGGCTCCATCATTGCGGTTAACATTCACTCTGCCTTGTGCCTCGTGGTCTTTTATACTTTTTAATAATGATTTTTTAAAATATATTTATTGTTTTAATTATTTGTTGTATCTCACCCAGAGTCACTTTTTATGAGATGGGCGGCTATATAAATTTGATAAATAAGTAAATTACAGAAACATTGGAAATTGGAAATCATTTTAGGTCTACTGTAATCAGTAAATTACCACTGGTTCCAAATACACTTGATGTCTGCCTTGAACTAGATGGCTATTAACAGCTCCCTTTTATTTTTAACCTTTTTTTGGACCTCATTGATAAATGGCATTTTTTTTGTTTTTAGCTGTTTTTTTTCCTCCTAGAAATATTTGAAAGGAATGAAAAAACAACAACAGTCTAATTCAATTCGCCTGTGTATAGTTTTACTTACTCCACATCATTTGTTATAGGACAATAAACAAGCATACTAAAAGGGAAATAAATCCCCAAAATTACTACCAGCATTAAGGTCTTCAACCTTCCACTTCATGGAATCCCCCACAACACTCGCAAATATGATGATGAATCCAAACTGATTATAATGCCATTTTTATAAAGCAAATAATACTATACTGATTAAATTGTTTCCAGAATGCTTAGAGTTATAGTTCATTTGGCTCTAGTTGTGGACACTTCTCATTTTTTGATCCAACCAATGACCTACTGTCAAAAGAGGAGGAGGAGGAGTTGAAGCTGGCAAATAAAGAAGTATGCTGTATAAATTGCAAACTTAGTGCTTGGACAGTGCAAACTGAGTTGCAATGACCACCTCACAGACTCATTTGATTTTGGAGAACTATATCGGCGGCCAGTTTGTACCATGTTCCTCATATCTAGATTCTTATGACCCATCTACTGGTGAGGTATATTGCAAAGTGCCAGATAGTGGCAGAGAAGAGGTGAGTTCCTATAGAAACTTACATTCAACTTTTTCATGCTCTTGTAGAGTTGTTCAAAAAATTGCATGAATGATTGTTTACAATAATTGTTAACATAATTGTCCTGAAATATTGGCCAGTTTGAATGTTATATTGAATTATATTTTTGTCTGTGGGAACAGATAAGACCGAATTTAAGTATAACAGCACAGTGTCATATCAGCAGCTAAAACCCTAGACCAGCAGCTCAAAGTTCAACACTATTTCCTTTGAAATTTCTCTTTTAAGTGGCAGAGTGGAAATTGTGTCAAACTTCAAAGCAAAATGAAAAGACAACAGAGGACAAACATGGCTTTACTGGGGACTTAATTCTTTTAAAAGGGTCTATCAAAATAATAATTGTACTATCTAATGACTGAAGTTGTAAATAAAATACTACTGTCCTACATTATTGCAACTTTACCTTCAACCTTTAGCAGTCAGCTCCAGTCAAATATTTGCTTAAGTACACATAAGTAGTGGTTGAAGTATAACTAGCAGTTTTTTTCTAAACTTATCCTGTGGTGCCTTGCCCTTTTGTAACTTATTTTCATATGTGAGCAGAAAATGGATTGTATATTAGATCATAGAAAGGATATTTAGGGAATAATCTTGATTGCTCATTTAATCTTGTGGTCAGCAGGACAAGAAAGGTAGCATTTTGATTTTAGGCTTACTCAGGGTGTCCAACATGTCTGCACTGTATTGGCCTTTGAGTCACATATCAAAGACAGGGTCAGGACAAAGAAAGCAGCACGACTAGATCAAACATTAAACTTGTATTAATTTGAATTCAGTTAAATAATGAATTAAATTGCTTTATTATAATTAAATTATTACATGGTATTATTATGTATAATATTTTTCTTGTCTCACAAGCATACCCTTGGATAGCAAGTTTTGGATAAGCTTTGGGGAAGGCATGTGTTAGGCATGAATGCAAGTAGGTGTAACGCATTGAATGTTACTATACACTGCATGGAAAATTTCAGTTACTAGTTTGAAAATGTAAGTCTGTAATACAGTACTGTAGTCCTGCTTAAAATGAAATACATTGTAACAATCCAGTGGTGCAGAAGCTCAACAGTGCTACCTAGTGGCTGTAATTCTGAATGATAAATTGGAAAGTAAGCAAGTAAGAAATACTAAATAAGAAAACAAAAAATAATAACACTTATAAATACATATATGTACATAGGTCTATGTTAGTTGGCCTGACTTACCCTTCTAATGCAAATGCATCACTTGGCATCACTTGAACAGAGCTGTTCAGTTTATACCTTTAACAGATAGACACGTGTCTAGGTCAGGGTTTCTCAACCTCAGCAACTGGCTGGCTGGGGAATTCTGGGAGTTGAACTGCACACATCTTCAAGTTGATAAGATTGAGAAATCCTGGTCTAGATCAGGGTTGCCCAGGAGATAACTGGAGACCTTACTGATCAATACTGCAATTGATCAGGATGACAAAAATCCTCTCAGCTTATAAATAAAGATCATTATTGTTTTGTACGTATCCCAGGACACAGCAGCCTTGCCTGGGTCTGCTGTGGGCCTGAGCTCTGGCCTCAATAAAGCTGTATTTGTTTTCTGCTCGCTCCTAGTTTCTGTTAACATCTAGCATTATACAAGCTTTTACTCATGCAAATGTATGTATTTACCAATTGCATTTTCAAGGTGGAAGCTGCTGTCAAATCTGCCCAAAATGCCTTCCCAGGATGGTCTGCCAAAAGTCCCCAGGAAAGGTCAAAAATAATGAGCAAGCTAGCAGATCTTATTGAAGAAAACTTGGAGTTATTTGCACAAGCAGAATCAAAAGATCAAGGTAAAGGAGAAAACCTGTTCGGGTTATGCTCCTAAGTGATAATGGATTAAGAAAATAATAGCAGATTTCAGCACCAATATCTAGTAGGACCAAGGGTCCATTATACTGAGGCAAACCCAAAATTAAATCCATGTTTAGTTTTAAGACAAAGGCAATGCTTTAAGAAATTGAGGATATATTTCTTGACAGTGACAGACAGCCAACCCTCAGTGCTGTTTATAAAACAGCCGTTTTGTTCAATTGCTTTTTCTGTAACAACTTACCAAAATTCTCAAATTTTATAAATAACAGGGAAAGTATTTTTGTTTTTATTTTTAAATATGAACGTGAGAAAAAGCCAAATTCCAGTTTGTCCATTCAGATAAAGAATAGGCAAGTTGATTGTGTTGTTCATCTAGGGTCAATGCAAACAGGATGGAGTTCAACAAAACTGTGTGGCCACATATTGCCCATCCCAGATTTACAAAGAACCCTTTAAGACCGTAGATCTCCAAATTCTGGATTTGAATCATTGTGTCTTCAGCTATGTATTCTGGTGCCGAATTACAATTTTCTCTTTTTGATGAGCTCCTTGTATTTAACACAATGGCAGACAGATACAGCGTGCTGGGAATAATTGTACCAATTAATTTTGCCCAGGATAGATAGTTCAGAATTAAATGTCTGCATGGACAAACTCTAAGAAGTTATTTTAGAGATGGATCTCCTTGTCTGTGTTGGTGCAGAATTTTTGTTTGTCTTCTATGTGACAGCAGAGAAACTTAAAATCTAAAGATGTATTCACATGGGCAAATGTGGTCAGAGACTTACATGGATTTGCCCATAATCCTTTGACATCCTTTTGCTTTCTTGTGTTTTTGAAGTTTTATTTTGAACATTTAGGTTGTCTTCTCCCCTCCATTGCTTAATAACCACAACTTCCATTCTTTGCTTAAGAACAGTTCTTATAAAAACTATTTAGAACATTAAAAAGATTTGTATGTACCAAAAACATTGCAACAACATCTGCAAGTGTAAAATTATTTGGTAAATATCCCTTTGTTCCAGGGAAAACCATTTCATTTGCCAGAACAGTGGACATACCCCGAGCAATATACAATTTTCGCTTTTTTTCATCATCTATCCTTCATCAGACAACAGAATGTACACAGATGGATCACATGGGCTGCATGCATTATACTGAAAGATCACCAGTGGGAATTGGTAAGTCTTTTTCAAAGAGCTGAAAGTGGTTTAAAAAGAAAAAAGAATCTTTTTAGGACTGGTAGAATTTAGTAAATTTAGCTTTTAGTACATTGCCTTCTTTTATATACAGCTGTTGTGACTAAACAAAACATTTTCTTGTCTTGAACTAAAAAGCAGAAGTACACAATTGCATTTGGCCCACAAAATATGAATATAGTTCCCCAGCTTTGTTACCAAATTGTGATTTTTTAATATGGTAAAAGAGGTTAATTATTAAATATATGACTGGAAAGTAATCATACTAAATGAATGAAATGAAACTCGATTTTGTTCTAGCCTCACTCACTAGTTTGAGGAGTATAGTCCTTGGCGTGCCATTTAAAGGCTTATGTGGTTCTTAGCCAAAAAAAGTTGTGCTCTGCTATTATACTGTGAGCTATTGAACTATTACTGAACTAACCAAAGAAGACAAATACATAAGCCATCCTAACAATAGTGCAATTGCTGTAAAATGGTAAAAACAGGAATGGAATTCCTGGAATGTTCACTGCTTTTGTTCCACGTCTGAAACAAATTGTTTCTTTTTTACACACATTTAATAAAATATTCTACTGGTAGTCCTTGGTTTTTACAGCAATTGGGACTGGGAACTCCACTGCTAAGCGACACGGTCATAAAGCATGACGTCACATGACCATGTCACTTAGTGACAGCAATTCCAGCAGTCCCAGTTGCCATCATTAAACAAGGACTGTGTGGGTCATTAAGCAAGGATGTCATGTGTTCATGACTTCTGAGTTCCTGCTGGCTTCCCCATTGACTTTGGTTGTTGGAAGCCAGCAGGGAATATCGGAAATCTCAATCACATGTCTGTGGCTCATTGTGATGTTGTAATTGTGAGTCAGGTGCTGAGTGCCCAGATGGCAATCACATGACCGCAGGGACCCTGCAGTGGACAGAATTCTGAGGAGCTGTCGTATATTCCCCTCATTCAGCACTGTCGTAACTTTGAACAGTCACTGAACTAATGGTTGCAACCCAGGGACTTTCTGTAGTTTAAGCAGATCTGGGATGCAAACATCTAGACAACCACTAGATGTCAGCACCTACTTTTCAGTGTCCTTTTTCCTGCCATTTAGTGATCACCTGGACTTTTATATCTCAAATCTGGTAGCCTTCCTCTAGTATAAAGTACAGCTTGAGATCTTCCATGCTTTTCCATAACATAGGTAAGTCCATTATTATGAGCTTACCCAATCAGAGTAAAATTAACTGGCAAGTTACTAGGAGTGACCTGCCTTGCTTTGTCTTGTGATCCAATAGATTGTTATAGAACCCAAACACTAGTTATTATTCAATGTTTTCATGTACCTATTTCCTTTGCAGACAGTTTAGTACTTAGAATGGGTGCTAAAGCAAAAGACTACTGAAGCTTGTATACAGCTGTCATGCTTTGTAATCTAGCTGGGTATCAGAAGAGGGCCACAGATTTCCTAAGTATCAAACTTCTTGTTTAAGCAGATTTGTTCCTTTTTCCTATCTTTTTGAAAGCTGGCTTAATTAGTCCTTGGAATTTGCCACTTTACTTACTGACCTGGAAAATTGCCCCTGCTGTCACGTGTGGAAACACTGTAATTGCCAAACCGAGTGAAATGACATCTGTCACAGCCTGGATGTTGTGCAAGCTTCTGAATAAAGCAGGTAAGCATATTAGTGATACAGGATACAAGTTGGTAACACTTTGAGCCAATGAGCTTATATGGAGATTTCAGAACACATTTAGGCACTCGCACAAAATGGCTGTCAGAGTGGGAATAGCCAGTCCACATAATATCCATGTACTAGAAGGAAAACAAGTGCACTTGTACCCTGACATCACTATTACCTAAGTTTACCTTTCTCATTTTCAGGGTAATGAGTACGCTTCCAAACAAAGCACTAGGCTATACAGGTAGTTCTTGTTTAGAGACCACTTGTTCAGCAATTGTTTGAAGTTACGACACTGAACGAGGAGACTTATTACTTGCCTTCATAGTTGCAGCCATTGCAGTGTCCCTGTGGTCACATGATCATGATTCGGGCACTTGGCAACCAGCTCACAATTACGATGTTGCAGTGTCCCATGGTCATGTGATCACCATTTGTGACCTTCACTGCTGGCTTCCAACAAGCAAAGTTAGTGGGGAAGCCGACAGGAGGTCGCAAATGGCAATCACGTGATATCGTGCCTAACGACTGTGCGAGATTCAGCTAACATTGGCAGCTGGTACTGCTGTCATAAGTCAGCACAATCACATGATGTTGTGCTTTACAATTGTGTCACTTAGTGATAGAGTTCCCAGTCCCAATTACCATCATTAACCAAGGACTATGTGTACCACCCAGCAATTTAATTTTCCTGATAATTCCTTGTGTACCAGTTCTTGTAAACGAAGATGATACTTGATGATACTTTATTTTAGAGCAGGTCAGCTCCCTATTTTTTAATAATATATACCTATATATCTTATTTAATATCCAGTGGAATGGAGAGCTTGGAGAGTGCCAAAGAGCTATCTATGGATACACTGGTATCCAAGACACCATATTCTCTATTCCTGATTAAGAAACAATTAAATTTAATGTATTGTCAAAAGCTTTCACGGCCGGCATACGATGGCTGGTGTGGGTCTTCCGGGCTGTGTGGCCGTGTTCTGGAAGTTTTGTTTCCTAACGTTTCCCCAGCACCTGTGACTGGC